TTACATCCAACACCGTACCAGCGAGTGCAAACCTTATAACGTCCTCCTGGTAGACTTGCGTAAGGCCTTCGATACGGTATCTCATCAGTCGGTTCGCCGTGGTCTCGTCAGAGTTGGCATACCCGAAACCATGACGAATTTCCTCATGACCAGTTTAACCAGCTCATCTACGGTAATAAAAATGGGTGATCAAAACACAGACTCAATCAATATCACCCGGGGCGTGAAACAGGGTGACCCTCTGAGTCCCCTGCTTTTTAATCTTGAGCTTGACGAGCTCCTCTTTGATCTCAACTCGGACGCTTCGGTAGGAGGCACAATGGGCCCAGATTGCGAAACCAAATGCCAGGCGATGGCGTTCGCAGACGACCTCGTTGTCCTAGAGGACAACGAAGAACGCCTCCCGCTTTTAATACAGCGGCTTCACAAATTCTTCACGCAAAGGGGCATGTCTATGAACACTGATAAGACATGCCTCCTGTCGGCAGCATTAGTCCCCAGGCAGGGAAGACTAGCTGTCAGAACTAAACCTTTTATAAAGCATTTGGGGAAGCAAATTAGAATGGTAAATGGCATAGATCCCTTCAAATATCTTGGCCATCAATTTTGAGCTAGCGGGATCATGAAACCAAATCTGACGAACATCAACAGATGGCTCCAAAACCTGGCTCCTGCGCCGCTAAAGCCTGACTAAAAATTGGCTATTTTAAAATCCTTTATTTTGCCAAAGGCATATTATGGGCTACAAAACACCAAAATCACGGGTGGCACGCTGCGGGAGGCCGATAGAGCCGTCCGCTATCACACTAAAAAGTTCCTCCACCTCAACATCCATACGCCTGATGCGGCTATACATGCCAAAATGAAGGATGGGGGACTTGGCGTGCAGGCTTCAAGGAATGCTATCCCGAGAATCCTATTAAATAGGCTTACCCGATGCTGGCAGAGGGGGACAACGCGCTGAGCTATGTGATACAAGCACCACTTATGCGTCAAGTCCTGGACAGGATCCACAATCTAGCCGGCGTTGTCCCCCCCGATCAGTATTGGCTGGGTAAGCTTAAAGCCTCCCCACATTAGCCGGCCTCGAAAATGCGTCAGACGATGTGGCGTCGCGATCCTGGATCGATAGCAAACCGAACGGCTGGACGGGCAGGGACTATGTTAGAGCCGTTCAGCTCCGCTCTAACAACTTGCCCACTGCTGGCCTTATATACAACGACCCTGCCCGTCGACGATACCGCGGAGGATGTGACAGAATCGAGACCATTATTCACGTCCTCCAGCAATGCCTTGCCACCCATTGGGAGCGGATCCGACGCCACAACGAAATCGCCAAAAAGATCGCTCGCCACTGCCAGGCCAAGGGTTGGCAGGTCGAGGAAGAGCCCCACGTTCGGCACAATGATGGCATTCTTTACAAACCAGATCTTGTTATTCACGCCCCCGGACGTACTATCGTCTGCGACGTTCAAGTGAGGTGGGAGAGGAGCGTTCCGCTTGGCGTCTGCCATGCCGAAAAGAGGGCGAAGTATAACACCCCCCAATTTTTGAGCCATTAACCATCGGCGCTAGAGGCATCTGGCCAAGATGCAATGAACCACTGGACGTTCACATCCAACTAACCCCGCCAATAAGAGCAAGTTGCATATACTCTGCCCTGAAATGGGGCTCTCCCATCCATCACCACTTTGGCAGGTTAGTTTGGAATCGGAGGCGACGCTAGCATACTTTCGCTCCCCACCTCCCTCCTACCCCCCTGCTGGTCACAACTCATGGTTCTCGCAACCGTCACATCACCACCCCCGCTACCTTGTATTGAGGACACCAAACTCGCCCTCAACCCCCATCAGAGATCGAGATATTTCCCCCACTTTTCTCTCCCCGGCGGACAGTGAACTCAAGGCTGCATTAGGTACAGGTACCCGCAGAACAGGGTTCAAGCCTGCATCGAGGCGCTAGCAACAAGTGAAAGTGATTACAGTGCAATATATACCTTAGGAGAACTTGTAATGTCCTTATACACTGTGATTGTCCATATTTACCTATTTTAAACTATTTCAACTTGTAATTAATGTCTGTCCTTCTTTCAATAATCACTTAAGCGCCCTAGGTCGGTCCCCCTCAGGAACCGGCAAGCCGTGAGTTGCACGTCAGAGTCTTTGTTTTAATGTGTCAATTTAATTTAGAATAACTTATACATTGTTTAATATACTTATTTGTTCATTATTTATTATTTACTTATCTATTTGTCACAACAGTTTAGTGTTCTGTGCGGTGGTTGGCGTGTAGCCTCACCTTGGTGTGGCCAAACGCCGTAACCTCAATTTCAACTTTAATTTTAACATTTCACTTAGTTAATATTGTAACTCTTTTGAAAAAAAAAATCTGTCCGCCAGGCTAATCATCATTAAAGCTCAAGCTGCGCTACATCATCCGATGACCACACGCTGCGCGTGTTTCTGTTAATTAACAATTGCAGCACTTGAGCGTTGGTGGGTTAATGTTTACAGCTCACCAACACCCACTCCGCGTCTGTGACGCCTCATTTATTAATTGACTTATTTTTAAACATTATAATAACAATGTACATATTTTATTACTTATTTGAATAAAGATTTTTAATAGCCCCGACTCCATCCAGCTCCACTCTCTTAAGGTTATCGAACGAACCACAACCGCTTTCTGCCAACGGAAATTCCATTTAAAAATTCCGGCGGAAAAGTATTTCCAATTAATTCTAGGAGTATATGCGCGTCTAGAGTGGCCGTTGCCCAAGGCGTGTGAGTGTGCGGAAGTCCCAAAAGAGCCAGAGTAAGTCAATACAGGCCCTAAATCCTCCAAAATCCTGTTTATATCGTACAGCTGATAATTCCCTGGACTCTCTTCAAAGCGAATAAATATTTCGTTCTTCGAGGGTTTCCTTCGTCAGATCGTGTTCGCGTAACAACATTCGAGCGTTACAGTTCCGCTCTCCCCAAAATTGAGGTTGCGGGGGCCAAGTAGGACGAACAAGATACCTCAAGAAGTAAGGAGAGTGAGCAACTTAGGGGCCGGTGTAGTAGCCGCGACCAGAGCAGAACGATAAGGCCGCGTTACCGGATAAAACCGGGGGTTACTGTGCGAGGTGCGGGATCTCACGGGACTCAACTCCAAGCACGGGTGCTGTGTCCTTTTTTTCGGAGAGTCAAAGGAGGTTGTTGTCTGACCCGTGATTTAATCTCGGGCAGCGATATCCTTCTCTCCTCCGGGGCGAGGCACAGAGCGTCGCCGAAAGTCTGTAACTGGTTGTAAGGCTGGGATCGGGATCCGTGTCTAGTGGTGACTCGAGTGGCCCAGAGGCGGGTGAGAGTGAGAGCGAAGGGCGAGACTCTCCACTGCGGGTGCGACGACCATTCTTGGAGGACCGATATTCCGGCACCTCCGTGGATGGGAGCGGTGGGAAGGGGGACTCCGGAAGGAGCTCCTGGAGGACGCCGGCGAACAGGCACCTCCTCGAGCGCACCTGCACCAATCATACGGGGGGGTGGAGCTGGGTCCATTGAGGAGTTTCTAGAGAGGTTATTAGATGACGAGCGGTTGGACGACGGCGACAGGCTTATAATCAATGCCAGCCTTGATAATGACCAGCGGGAAGAAAATCTGACGGCGAGGCTTGCCTCTTATTATAACAAACTTTGTCCCCCCAGAATAGGAGGGGGTAATGAGGCCAGACCCGCTGGTCGGGTGGAGAAGAAGCCCCGGGCACACAGCCCTTATAGAAATAGTGGTGCTCGGCGGCATGAGGTGTATAAATCCACCCAGAAGGCATACAAAGTCGACCGTTTGAAGACCGTATCTAATATCCTTGACGGATTACCTCTCGATCGGCCTAGCTCCTATCCGCCCGTGCGCTTGGTGGAAGAGCGATACCGTGGACTATTCGCGGAACCCTCTCCGGCGGATGACGAGTTGTTCGAGGCCAGCGAGCTAAACCACATTAACTTACTATCTGCCCCAATTTTGGAGGCAGATGATATCGCCAAGGCGATAGTGGCCGGTAATTCTAACGCGGCCGGGCCCGACGGTATCAAACCTTCAGTGTTCCGTCGGGTACCAACATTAAAGCTCGCTGTGCTATATAACTGCATGTTGTTGCGGGGCATCGTCCCCAAGGCAATATGCGGGGGCCGAACAATTTTGATTCCAAAGGAGGGGGATCCAACAGTAGTAGACAATTGGCGACCTATCACTATTTCATGCATTATATTGAGGGTCGTTCACAAGCTGCTGGGTTGGCGCTGGAGCGAGGTCCGAATCGCGGGTCACCAAAGGGGGTTCCAGAAGATGGATGGTGTACCGGCGAACGGCCTGTCGCTTCAGACCGCAATCAAGCACTGTCGGGTGTCGGCCAACGATTCAAGAAGTTTGTGATGTCGGGGTTGGCGGGCTCATCGACAGTGATTGAGGTAGGAAGCGGCAGGACGGCCGCCATACCCATCAATCGTGGAGTGAAGCAGGGGGATCCACTCTCACCATATCTCTTTAACCTCGCCCTGGACGAGCTGATCAGCCAGCTAGCGGTGGGGGGGGGGGGGTGATGGGGTGCCAATGGGGGAGGCCGGCAGGATGTGTGTCCAGGCATATGCTGACGACATCATCGTGATGGCCGACTCACGGAGGACCGCGCAAAACCTGCTGACAAAGGCAGCACGGTTCTTTCAGGGCCGTGGAATGGCACTAAACCTCGCAAAGGGCAGCGCGCTATCCGTTGGCACCAACAAAGGGGACAAAAAGTTGTTCACCATTACCCACCCTCTCTTCTACGTCAACGGGGGGGCCATAGGCCAGCTCCAGGTAGGAGAGTTTTTCAAATACCTGGGGCAGACCTATGGCCCGCTGGGCGTGGCAGGTACTCGCAATTCATGAGTGCCACCTGGAGGTAATTTTAAAGTGTTGTCCGTTCCATAAGTTTGTCCACATTACCTGTCCAGTCTTTTCACATTCCTTCTCGTTTATTGTCACAGTTGACACGTGGGTGACCGAAGTACTGGGAGTAGACCTTTAATGTCTACAACCATATTCTCAAGGGTCAGAACAACAGGCCCTACAATGGTGCTGCGCGACACACTGTACCTGGCGTCTATATTTATGAGTTCGGGTACTGCGGACATTCGTTTGTAAAAACACGATCCAAATGCAGAGCTTTCTGAAATAGCCCCGACTCCATCCAGCTCCACTCTTTTAAGGTTATCGAACGAACCACAATCGCTTTCTGCCAACGGAAATTCCATTTAAAAATTCCGGCGGAAAAGTATTTCCAATTAATTCTAGGAGTATACAGGGAGATTGATGGTCGATGGTAGGTTAGACGTTTATGCAAAACGGAATGTTGGATATTTTTGAAAATTTGCATGCCCAAGTAATTGCTCCTGATCTATCATTCTAAAATAATTTCAACGATGCGACGTTGCCGCTTATACCAAAAAGTAATATGAACTTTGAAATTTTAAATGAGACACCCTGTATATTATTGCATTTTTCGCTCCGCTATTACTTTCTGATCATTTTTGTATAATACTGTCCTATACCTATCTCTAATGATTTTCGACTTATTAATTAATTTCTTTATTTTTTCTTCAAAACATAGCTCTAGTTAAATTTGTATTACTACGTCCCTGAGATTCGTAGAAAGTTTAAATTTTGGAGATAACTTAGGGAGGTCCTGCATATTACTTTTGAGCAAGAAAATTTGTTCTACATTATACAGGGTTGGTCAAAATTAGTAATTGTGCTGCCAGGTACAAAAAAGATGAAAAGTGCACTTTTTCAAATAGAACACCCTGTATATTATGAAATATTATGAAAGGCTATTAAAATCCCTTACAAATGATGTATCATGTTCCTATACCTAAATAGTAAGGTTTCGGAAATACAGGCAAATTTCTGTAAGAATTTGATTAGGTAAGGTATTTAAAAATTATGTCTTATTAAATAGCAGTAACAAGTATGTTAAGTGAACTTTTTTACACGAATGTGACGTGCGACAATCACATGAGTAAAAAAAGGTACTGTACACACTTATCGCATACGACATTTTTTCTTCTATCAATAAAATATGCGAGAAAAATAAATGTAGACGAATACTTCACGAACTGGTGCGTGAATTAATTTACCAGAAAAAGAAAAATACTAAATTGAGAGTGTCGACATCTGTCATTGACATTACTTCACGCACTAGGGTGTGAAGTGAAATTCAACGTCTTCGCAATAGTGCATAAAGTGAGTACTTTACGTAGTAGAAAAAATATTGTCACAACCTATTTTGTTGCAACTGGGGGTTTGGGATCTTTTTTTCCTTGACCGCATGTGGATTTTGATTAGCCCAAAAGTGTTGATTTTTCCTATCAAAAATACCTTCTCTAGAAAATTTAGCTTCATCGGTGCATATTAATTTTTTTTTTAGATAGTTTAGATACTCATAAGTGTGTGTCAGAAGTGTCGCTTAATATCGAATTTGACGTTGGTAATCAGCCGGTTTCAGCTGCTGAACTTTTGTGAATTTAAAGGGATGCATATTATGATTGTTAAAAAATTTCTGCAAATAATAATAGCTCAGGCCTAAATCACCTGCTGCACTTCGGATGGCAGCTTGGGGATATGCGTGAAAGTAGGCTGACATTCACGATGTTTCTTCATCAGACGTTACAGGCTTGGGTAAGCTTGGTTCATTCTAAAGTTTTGAATCAAACTGTATAAAGTTATTTTTTGTGCAACAGTCCGCAAAATTCAATTTCGCGGCCGCCATACCTGACTTGCAAAATGGGTCAAATCCTTGTCAAATTCATACAGTTTTTCTGTAACTTTACATAATTTTTATAGTTGCACAAAAAATAGAGTGTATACCATGACCGCGAAACTTTTTAGCGTAACGTACGCTAAAAATGCATTTCACGGCCTTGGTATACAAATAACTATTATGTCCGAACAAATTTTCTCTTATTCATTGGTCGTAAATCAGGGTACATTTCGTTGAACTTTTTGCATATTCTTGCTACAATTTTTTTGCAGATTTCTTCTTTTTGACGTTTTGTAAAGTTTTGCTGTGTGAAAAAACAAATAAACTTGCTGACAGCTGATGGCGGGCAATTTTTTTTAATGAAAAATTTTTTTGACACCAAAATTATCACTTCTGATTGGTCAAAATTAACAGGAGGGAAATAGTTATGGTAAAATGTATGGACCACTTCCATAGATGCCTATAATACCTAAGACTTTTATGACGTCATTGGATTTAACTGCCAAAAACACCGTGAGTAGGAAAGAGATAAAAACAAAACAATGACAATATTTTTGCATATCACACATTGCAAAAAGTGGATCATCTTATGCAATTGTTTTTAATCCTAGGTAATAACCATGGTTCCAATCACTTGCCAATCATGTGGTTTGTATCGTTTGAAATACCTGATATGTTTCATCGTGACATAGCTATTTAATGAAGATTCGGGTTGGTAGAATGAGTGTAAAGAAAAAGTATTTCTATCTGTTTCTACAATAGGCTGAAAGAAAGAGATGAAAATATACTCAGTGTGTATTAAATCTACCAATTGGAAACGCCATTAGACAAATATCACAAAATAATCCAATTCTAACAGAAACTTGCTTGTATTTCCGAAACCTTACTATTTAGGTATAGGAACATGATACATCATTTGTAAGGGATTTTAATTGCCTTTCATGATATTGTATAATAAACAGGGTGTTCTATTTAAAAAAGTGCACTTTTCATCTTTTTTGTACCTGGCAGCACAATTACTAATTTTGACCAACCCTGTATAATGTAGAACACATTTTCTTGCTCAAAAGTAATATGCAGGACCTCCCTAAGTTATCTCCAAAATTTAAACTTTCTACGAATCTCAGGGACGTAGTAATACAAATTTAACTATAGCTATGTTTTGAAGAAAAAATAAAGAAATTATTTAATAAGTCGAAAATCACTAGAGATAGGTATAGGACAGTATTATACAAAAATGATCAGAAAGTAATAGCGGAGCGAAAAATACAACAATATACAGGGTGTCTCATTTAAAATTTTAAAGTTCATATTACTTTTTGGTATAAGCGGCAACGTCGCATCGTTGAAATTATTTTTAGAATGATAGATCAGGAGCAATTACTTGGGCATGCAAATTTTCAAAAATATCCAACATTCCGTTTTTCATAAACGTCTAACCTACCATCGACCATCAATCACCCTGTACTATGCGCGTCCTAGAGTGGCCGTTGCCCAAGGCGTGTGAGTGTGCGGAAGTCCCGAAAGAGCCAGAGTAAGTCAATACAGGCCCTAAATCCTCCAAAATCCCGTTTATATCGTACAGCTGATAATTCAAATATTCAAACAAGTGTCAGAAACATAGGGGACCGCACAATCGTTCGATAACACCGGCAGGAGGTTTCTAGAATTCTACTTTGGTGTTGGAGCAGAGTTACACCATCCTGCTCGCCTAAACATACTCCATTTTAGTAAAAGGGCTCTCCCTGCTATTCTACGGACCTGAGGAAAATTCCAGGTTTCGCTACTTCGGAAAGTCGGCAGGACTCAGGGCTGGAACTCTGTAACGGATAAGGATCGTTATCCCCTTTCGCTATGGCACTTGCTGTCTTCTTCTCTCTTGTCGAAATCAATAGAGAGTATACGTCAATAGAGATAGAGAAAATATCTCTATTCGTTACAGAGTTCCAGCCCAGGGTTCCCCACAGATACCACCCATGTAGCCAGTCTCGATCAAGGGATAGCCCACCCCCGATGAAGGTGAAGAGTTTTCGAACAAATTCGCGAGTCAGCAAATCTTGAAAACTGACACCGGGAACACTTAAGTCTTGAGTAGAGTGCACCTTCTACACATCCCCGCCCTACTCCGAACACCCGAGGACTTGCACTGACTTGCACGAATTGCCCTAGCTCAATATAATTGAGCTGGAAAGGCTCGCTCGCCCTGATATCTGCCACGCAGAACTACATCGAGCGGGCTGGAACTTCTAGACCTCCCAGATTATCAAGAACTTCGAAACCTTCGAAATCGTCTAGACCTTCGAGATCGTCTGGAGCATCAAGATAGTGTGGGGCGTCTGGAACCTCTATTTCGCCCAACGCGCAGTGTGTGAATGTTAACGGCTAAGACGAGCAACGTCCACCGTGCTCCAGGGCAGTCTGTTCTATCTGCGGGTAAGTACCTTTGCCAGAACTCCATCATTTTCAGTTCGCTCTCAGAGTCGCTGTCTGAACACCCGGACTACAGTTCACGCGGTTCTGATCGAGGCAAAACTCCTTTCTCTTCCCGTTATGGCCCTCGATCGAACCCCCAAACCCCTCCCGACATGTCGGTGAACTCTAATGGAGGAGGCACTGACCCCCCAAACATGGCGCCTAGTATTTCAGATTTGCCTGCCTCCCCCAAAACCCCAGCCTTCCCACATCGCTGCAACATGTGCGGAAGGGGCTACCAGACCCGAAGTGGTTTGAGCAAACACCATGTCCGCAAACCAGAGTGTGCGAAAAGAGACAGAACGAACTGCATCTTCTGCGATAAATCCTTGGCTTCATACGCAGCAGTTCGTCTCCATGAGCAGGAATCTCGCGAGAGTACATGTCGGCCGACGAAAAACAGCTCGGACTTCCTGATGCCGAGATCTTCGCAATCATGGCCGATATTGAGGCCAGCCTACCTAAGGGAAAGCCCTTTAACGAGCCGATGATGAAGGCTACCGGCCTCACGAGGGACCAGCTACGTCACCGACGTGCCAAGCGCATTTATAAGGAATACCTCGCCATGGCGAGAGAAAAGCACTTGGCTCGCCGGCGTCATTCATTAGGCACAGTCTTCGGAAGCGTCCCGAAAAAGGCTACTCCATCTAGCCCCAAAACTCCCACACCTACTACCACGTCTACCTCTGAACCGGCTACTACTCTCGCTGCCGCCATACCTGAACCGACTCCCCCCGTCTCACCAATCTCATCTTCGCCTGGCTATCATTGCTCTCAGATTCCTGGTCCATCTAAACCACACCCAACGATTGACCAGGACGACCCACCTTCTCCACCTTCATCTCCTGACGAATCGGTCTTTTGGACCCCGTCAAACTCCATCTTAGGAGATGAGGGCGCGCCTAACACCAGCGCCACCAACCTTGTCCCTGGTACTCCCACTACCAAGGGCAAGGGCCCAGGTAAGACCAAGAACAGAGATTCTGGTATCAAGATCCTCCAAGTTATCACCTCCACCCGGAA